CACACACACACACACACACACACACACACCATATATATAGTTTTAAAACACAAAAAGGTGGATATTATTATTTATATTTTGTGTGTGGCTGTACAGACTGAATTCCATGGATTCAAGATGAGGTCAGGCACGAGCTTCCATGGATAATGTATGGTGATGAAACTGTGGTCTGTAGTGAGAGAAAGGAGCATGTGGAGGAGAGTGGAGGCAGATGATCCACTGTGGTGAGCCCTAAAGGGAGCAGCCAGAAGAAGAGAAGCAAATGTTATGCTGATGCCTGTGTATGTAACCGGGTAACATATTTTAATGCAAAACAAGTGGGATTTTAAATAGGATAGTGAACTCATACAACTATAATGTTCAGTGTAATTTCAAAACATATGAAGTGAATTCTATTTTAGTCCTTGATAACTTCCATGAACTTCTAATCGCCTATTTCACTAATACTTCTTATTATTTTACACAATCTACACTCTGTGCAGACTAAGTAATTTGATTGCACTTCCTACTACAATATTTTTAAATATACATTTATTAAACCATTTTAGTCTACCTTTATTTGATTTAAGGAATTTATTGAGTTAGTTTAATTTTTAGAGCTAATTAATTGTATTTTTTTTTTTACTCATTGAGTTCTTTTTTCTGTTTAAATGATTTTTGAGTAATTATCACAGAGGCAGCAGAGCTCATTCTCCCTCAGATTTATTCAGACCCTCCATCGATCTATCCTGTTCTAAAGTTGTTCTGAAGAACAGCGGAAGGCTATTAATTTGTAATGGAACTACCGGAAGCGGGGCTCCCTGCGTTGGTCCGCTTCACGGTGCGTGTTTTCGTTGTCAAAACATGGACGCGACTCAGATAATCGATTTCCATATGTTTGCGTTAGCATCATGACAGGCAGCATCAGCCGCTGGAGACGGTGAAGGGAAACTTCACCGAGAGTTGTTCGCCGGAAGTTAAAAATACGGTCGTTTGTTCTTACCGAGTAAGAGAAAAAAGGGTTAAAGACTTATTTTTCCCACCGAGGAAGCGCTCCTTTTGTCTCCTACGGCTGTGCCGTTTAGTTTTTTTTCGGTGTCACCATGGACATGTACGGGTATAGCGGGGCCATGCTGGTGAAAAGATTCTCGGATAAATCCCCGTTTGAAGTGACAAACATGTCCGACATTAGTAAGGCGAATCCCCACGGCTGCGACAACGGAGCTCTGACGGACAGGTTCGGCGTCCTGATACAGGGACTGCTGGCTATCGTGGCTTTCAGCACTCTAATGTGTGAGTATCGATTCCTTTACCATCGGGAGACACATCCCTGATAACTTGTTTTCTTTTTGTGCTAATTCAATTGGAGAATTGAGAAAAAGCAAAATGCGCGAAGTGTTTTTTTTAGAAAGCTGCACCAGTCCACGTGGCGTTTTGTTTGTTGACGTTTGTTATCCAGCCTCAGTAGCTCCGCACCAAACTGTATTGATATATATGCTAATTTGTTTTTCCCACGGGTTTCGGGAGGAATCTAAAGCAGACAGCAAGCTTCTAAAAACAGTACCTAACTAATAGCGCTTTACTTTTCCTTTCGGCGTATATCAGATGTTGTAAACATAGCAGGTTTGAACGGAATTTTAGCTCTTTAACCGAGGGAGAGTTGGGCGAACCCTTATTTTCAAACTGTAATTAATCAAATGAGTTGTTCACGGTATATGCACGTAATTAAATATTTAGGGCTTGTTATACCGCACTTATATATGTGCCCTTTGCCAAAGCAGCATAACTGAGGTGCTTTTAAGCAGAGCCAGTGTCACATAATAGCAGATTTTAGATCCAGGACCTCATTTTGTTTCTCTTAGAAATCAAAATTGACTTCCATCAGAATAGTTACTTAAAATCTTTATGCATCCAGTGAAATTTAAGATGTATGCTGGATTTCCTCGTATTCTGCAGTTGTTGTTGTTTTTTTATATTATTTTTAACTTTAATTAAAAAAAAAAAAAGTTGGTGGTGCAGTGGCTGGCACGTTGGCCTCACAGCAAGGATGTCCCAGCTGGCTGGAGTTTAAATGTTCTTCACATGCCTTCCACAGACTGTAGTTTCCTCCCCCTGTCCAAAGACGACTGGTAACAAGAATAAGTTCGGATTAGGTTAATTGGTGATTCTAAATTGTCTGTCTCTCTGTGTTAGCCCTGCAGCATATCTGTGGCCTCTTGTCCTGTGACAGCTGGGATAGAGTACGAAATGACAAAACCTACACGTTGCATCCATAAAATCAATAAAAGTGAATAAAACCATAATTTAAACAAAAACTAGAGCAGCAAAAATGGAAAAAATTGTAAATAAAACCAATTAACTGAAAGTAACTTACATAAAATGAAGTAATAGTCAAATCAATAAAACAATATAATG